TTTAAGTTATGTGGTTATTTTTGTTAATGTGTTTATGTGTTCTGTTGATGTGCTTATGTGTATAAAATTAAAAAATAATTAAAAAAATAATATTACCCCCCTTTTGAAAATTAAATGAAGAACAATTCAATAAATCTGAGTCCCAGCAAAAGCATTTACATTCCTAAGATTATCCAGTTTAGATCCAAATATACTTCTCTGTGTGAGATGTGAATACAAAGACATCACAATAGTACCTCAAAGTCACCCCCTAGCATTCTTTAGATAAATTGTTCTAACAGTCCCTGGAATTCCCCTCCGTGAAATATTGGTTAAAATGGGGCATAAATCATCTGATTACAAGGAAGAGAGGAAAAAAGGACATCTTTATGGGGATACAATGATTATTCCTCTTTTAAATTTTAAAAAGAACTGAATTATCTGGCAGATGAGGAAAGAAACTGCCTTTAGTCCTACATTCTGAACTTGGCAATAGCATTCTAGGTTTCTGTTTATAAAGTAATAGCTTATCAGTCCTTCAAGAGAACTAAGGTCAAGAAACTGAAGCAGCAGAGATTGTAAGAATGCCCTTTTTTGTTGCAAAGTAGAAGAACTGAATCTAAAAAGACTGCCAGAATTTCTCTCTGTCTCATTTTATAGCAAACTAAATTAAGTCAGGATTATTTTGAGTTTCTTTCTTATGCATTCCACTTTCTGAATCATCTTTTTCCCCCTCATTTAATGTTTCATTGCTCCTTTCCTCCTTCTCAGGAGTGGGCTTCAAAAATGTCAGCAACGGGTTCTCTGCCCAGTTGCTGGGTGGGTGTGGCCATGGCCTAGTTGGTCTCCTGCACTATGGTGGCAGGGGGGGGAGGTGTTTTGTGTTCCCCAGACTCTGGAGGCTTTTCTCGAACCTCTAAGAGGGAAAACTGTCTCCCCTAGGCTCCGGAGGCCTTCCGGGAGGCCTGTTTTCCTCCCCTCCCTGAGCTTCCACACTTACCTCGCATCCAAAATGGGCCACGTGGAGACTCCTGGGAGGGGAAGGGTGGGTGGGACCAGCCAAGGATGGGATTTGGAGATTCTCTGAACTGCCCATAATGTTAGCTATGGGTTCTCCCAAAGCCAGGTGAACCTGTAGCAGCCTACCCCTGCCCCTTCTAAAGATTAGGTATGCATTTTTTCACATGGTAGCTTTGAGGAAGAGGATTTTTTTTCCATTGGGAAACAAATGGAAAGAAGAATAGAATCATAGGGCTGAAAGGGATCTTGGAGCTCTTCTAGTTCAACCCCTGCCCAGGGTTGGAGTCCTTATTCCATTAACCCCACCCCCACCCCAACTCCAGGAGGCAAGCTGTTCAGTCCTCCTCCTCCTCTCTTGGTACATCTTGATCTCTGTCCATATCTGGAGGCATAGAACTATTTAATTTTGTTTAATTGTACTCCTGTAATTAATGTATTTGGCAACAAGCACAGAAACTATGAATCAGTTAACGGATGAAGAGATGCTTAACAAAGCAGGAAAACAAGTGCATTTTTTAAAATTATGATAAATAGATCTGCTTATTTGTTTTGATATTGACATTGATTAATTGATTTCTATTTTATCTTAAACCAATGAAAGATAGAATGGAATATGAATGAGTAACTGATAAACCCATAGTTTCCCTGAAAATTGATTCTTTAACTTGCTAAAGGCAACCATATGTAACAGTGTACTTAACTAGTATTTGGAGAGTCCATATATTTCATTTAAGGATATTAAAAACAATAGATGAAAACATTTTTTCTCACAAAGATGACTATGGTAAATTATTCTGAACTAGTAAAATCTTTGGGATCTTTTGCAGTGTTTATTAGAAAATGAACACAAATCTGATCTATGTGGGCAGCTTTAGACAGTTTTTCTAGGACTCTAAAGTGAAAAATACCACATCCTTTTAAATTTCAGCCTTCAAAGTAACTTCCTATAAATTGTTAAGTGTAAATTGTTAGTTGAAAGACAGAAAGTTTTTCTCAATAAATCATTAGTCAAGATCACCCAACATGGCCATTCGGTCTGCGGGGAAAAATTGCTTACATTTTTGTTCTTTGTATAAATTGTCCACTGTCCTAGACTTGCTTAAAGAATGTAAGTTGTTTTTGAATTAACACATTACATTAATATGTTTTAATACCCAAACGCTCAGCTTATTTAGCATGTTATAAAGTGCTTTGATTAAAAGTATATAAACAACACATGGAACCAGTACAGCCTCTGATTTCACAAATGAAATGGTTCAGTATTGTTTTCTTAATTGGACCTTTCCACTCAACAGTGGAATCACTGAAAAATATTTTCTATTTCCTAGATTCTTCCAAAATGTAAACCAACCTAAATCTCAGGTTTTTCTCCCTACAAATCTCTGTAAATTAAATGTGTGCCAGTAAGTTGAAGAATATATATATATTAAGTTTTTTTCATATCTTTAGTAACATCATTTGTGAAACAGAAGTTGGCTGTCCGTGCTTGACAGGTATGTAAGGAATTACACCGTTGTCATCTTTGTGAACATTAATTGATTTTTATTTTGTTTTAAGGAAAAACATAATTTGAGAAAAATTATGCATCCCATGAGCTTGTTCTTACATATCACTTCTTTTGCTTCTCCCAGACCAAGATGAGAGAGCTGCCGAACTTAGTAGAGAGCAAAATGAGAAAACTATTCGCAGTACCCAGACAGCTCTCCGAAACTTCAGAGAGTTTCTCATCTCTAAGTATCCTTCAGAAACCAGGGAGATCTACATTATTCCTTGCAAAGAACTAGATGCTTACCTAGCATCCTTTTTTGTCGATGCCCGGCAGAAGGATGGTTCAGAATATGAGCCAAACAGCTTGGCCAACTACCAGTGTGGGCTGGAGCGCTATCTCAAAGAGCATCGATATGCATACAGCATCACCCGAGACAAGGAATTCAAGAGGTCCCAGGAAGCACTGAAGCAGAAGCAGATGGAACTGAGGTGCAAAGGCAAAGGCAACAAGCCGCACAAATCAATGAAACTTACTTTTGCCGATGAGCTGATTCTCCGCAAAAGAGGCCTGCTAAGCCGATATAATCCTGAGGGATTGCTGAACCTTGTCTGGCTCAACAACACAAAGGCCTTTGGCCATTGTACTGGCTTCCACGGGTCGACTCTCAAATGGGGGGACATTAGACTTCGGGTGACAGAGACCGGCTTAGAATACTTGGAATGGATGGGCCAAGATGGCAGCGATGGGAATTCCAAGATTAAGAGAACAGGCACAGATTCCCGAGTGTATGCCACTCAGCATGCTCCACAGACTTGCCCCGTGCAAGATTATAAGGAATACGCGCAAAGGCGTCCCCCCGGGATGCGGTACGAGGATGCCCCTTTCTACTTATCCATTAAGCCGGTTGTTAATCTAGCTGCATTACACTGGTACAATTGCCAGGCCCTAGGTAAGAACAAACTAGCCAAGATGGTCAAGACTATGTGTGAGAAAGGGAATATTCCTGGAAGGAAGACCAACTTCAGTGTGTACCAGAGCTGCAGCACCCTCTCAGAAGCCCAGAGTAACCAGCTGGTGCTAATCTGCAACAACCTAAGCCAACAGGCCGCTCAGTCCGTAGCAAGTCATTCTAGTACTGGCAACTTCATAGTGTCTGCATCTTATGACTCTTCTTCGGATACAGCTTGAAAGGACACTCAGCGGAACCATGAGGTGCTAGAAGCTTTGGTGTCTGGTAACATACATTGTCTGTGATTCTACAGTTCTCATTAGACTCACCTTTCTCCAGTGTCAAATCCCGTTATCAAAACATATATACATATATATACATACATACATACATACATACATACATACATATATATATATACACACATAAATACTACATATATAAATATATATTTTTTCTTTTTATGAATATGTGAATAGAAATAGCTTAGCCTAATTTATATAGTATTTCTTAATGCTGATGGTGAAAAAGGAAGCATATTTATGGGATGCTAATTTAATGGCTGATTATGAAACTGAAAAATAATTTTCAGGCCATCTCTAATTTTAGCATTACCCATATTTTAAACTTTAGTCAGTGTGAAATTTGATTAATTGTCACTTCTTTCTGAAGCAAGATGCAAAGTATAAAGTAAGACAATATTGACCATTTTTTATTAAAAGCTCCAATAAGCCCTCCATATGACCGAATAGATATGGAGACAATTTAAAGTGATGAAGTTGATATGTTCTGTGAAGTTCTTTGAAGGCATCATGAATAAAGGGAAATTTTTGAAATTGCCTTGATACAATTCAGCAATGCTTTCAGGCATTTGCTTTCATTGCCTTTGAAAAGTGCCCCATCTTCATTTTTAAAAGTAGAATCACCCTCAAATTCTCAAACCTTTTAAAAGTGTGGCATGAATTTGTTATGTGAGAGAATGAAGGCAGGAATATTTTTCTACTTTGTTTAGTTCTTTTTGTAGTTCAGCTAGATTTTTTTTTAAATTGTGTTGATGAGGCTATGGAGAAGGAAAAGAATAAAAAAAAGTTGCTATTTATTGCAATGTTTTCTTTTTACGATTTAGGTCCCTGAATGCCAGTTATGCCAGCTAAGAAAAAGAAAGAAATGCTAACAAAATAGCAGTAAATAAAAGTACTATTAATTAATATGTAAAAGAAATATCATGGCAAATAGGAAGACTGTTAATTTGAAGACTTGTCTTTTAGTACTTTCTGTCTAGCCGCTTCATTACTGTGAGTTTTAAACATGTTTTTGAATATTGGATTATATTTTAATTTGCTGCAGGTTGAACAACTACAATCCAAAATAGACTAGTTGATTTAAGATTGCTTAATTCTACTGGATTGTGACCCCTCCACCATGGTGGAGCTCCACAATTGGAATAGCTCCACAATTAATTAGCAATAACTGCAACACCCATACTTTATGTGTACATTGTGTAACTGTGGACAAGATGGAAGATAGCTGTGCAGGAGAATAGGTAAGAAATTGCAGATCAGCTGTCTTAATGCTCTCTAATTCAAGGGAAGGAAAAACCTGGAAGATCAATAGTTGCACTAATGGGCGTGGACTGCAAAAATCCAGACAATTACTAGATGGCAGCAAAAAGAAAGATTAGAATGGATGAATCTTTGATGCAAAAGAAAACAAATAGCTTGTCTAGTCTTTGCCTTTTTTTAAAAACAGGGCTATAGAAATACCCCCACATCGTCAGGGTTCCACAATGAGTCACCATGAAACATTTCTTGATAGAGACAAGAGAAAAGCACTTACTGATTTGTTTATAAAAATATAGACTTGTAATATAATCGTATCACAAAGAATTGGGGCAGTGCCAGGGAGCAGGTAACATTCTTGTAGATTTCCTCCCAACCCATCCATTTTAGGCATTGAAGTAGAAGAAGAGTTGCAGATATTAAATACTTGATTAGTGGGTTTCTGGGAACTGGCATTTGCAGCTCATTTTATGCAATAAAATATGTTAAACAGGTCCTGGGGATAAGTGAATGTCATCTGTCCACTCTTCATAAGAGAATAATATAGTTAAATTCAAACTGTTGCTTTCGCTTATACAAACTGGGAGGATGCGTCTTGTTCTGTCTATGAATCCTCTTTCACGGTGATAAACAAATCTTATTTCAAATTATGCATTCCTAATTTCTGCTAGCATTTATCTGACAAGAAATGAATCTTCCTGTAGCAGCTCCTTCCTTGCACATTAACCTTCCCTTTCCTCTCCTGTAAAGTCATTACTTATTCACAGCAATTTATACTTGTCTTCAGCCAGAAAGGCATCTAAAGTGACTTACATATTATTAATTTTAAAAAGGCACCATCCCCGTTAAATTACATACATCAGACAAAAGTGATGGGAATAAAAGAAAAGAAGCTAACTTAGCTACGGATCTCTTGAAATTAGCTGGAGAAGATGGAGCCATTCCAGCAGCTGTGCCACAAGTCTGATTCCATCAGGTTTTTCTTGTCCCTGAGTTATTTTCATTCCTGTTGACCACTGTAGTTTAATGGTCATGCTTGCTGATGATTGAATAACTAGCTGGAATGAAAAAGTACGTGGAAGGAAGAAGAAGCTTATGGAAGTGGCCTGGAATTGGCTCTTTAAATAATTTAGGAGCCAATTGCTAAATGCTAGAATAACGACTTCATGAGGTTGGTAGTGTCATGGTTTAAAGATGCTCTTCTGTCTCACTACCCAGATGACTCGGCATTATTGAAGGAAGCATGAATTCTGCTTTATAGCACTAAAAATATGTCTATCTCTCCCTTGTCTAAAGCACATCAACATCTTCCAGTAAGATAATGATCCTAAACATATAAGCAAGTCTACAAGAGAATGGATGAAGAAAAAAAATGCAGTATTTTGGAAATGGCCCCCAAGTGAGGCAGGTTTAAGTCATCTTTTGCTACATTGCAGTTAATCATCTTCTCTATTCCAACAAAGTCCAGGGAAAATTTAGCTGTATAACACAGCTGGGTTGTGATTGTTTTTACTTTGGAAGGAAGTCAGATGACTATGACTAGAAATAGATGCAACTGGGCCTGCAAATTTTGTGTTGGTGTAGGGTTTTTTTTGACAAGATAATTGGGTAGCACTTCAACTTAGCAATGGAGAAAGAACCCATGATTATACATTTTGGTCAGTTGTCCTTTGAGTCTCATATTTCTTAACGGCCTTCTATCTCTTAAATAATGGTTTCACTGAAAGAAGTGGGAAGCTTATGAAAACAGGTAGTTCTCAGTTAACAATGATGACTGGCCCAGGGAACTCCCTCACTAAGGGATGCAGTAGTAAATTGTGATGTTGCATGACTGCGCTGATCGATGGCACAGTTCTGGCACTTCTAGTTCCAATCACTAGGCAAATCCCTGCAGTGTGACATCACATGCAGATTCGCAACTTCCTGCTGGCTTCCCCATTGACTTCACTTGTCAGAAGCTTGTAATGAAAGTCCTAAATCATAATCACGTGACTGCAGGACACTGTGGCCATAACCATAGTAATTACAATCTGGTTGCCAAGCGTCCAAATTGGGTCTGCAAAGGCACAGTGGATGGACGCAAGTTCAAGGACCAGTTGTAAGTCTCTTCCTCCAGCACTGTCATAAATTCAAATGGTTGCTGAATGAATAGCTGTTAACTGAGAACTACCTGTACTAGCTAAGAGTATTAGTTAAAATGTCCACAAACAGTTGTATATCCCTTTCTAGCTTTTTTAAAAAAAAATCAGGCACAAGATAGAATCAAACCATTCTAAATTGTTTACAATCTAGCACAAACTTATAATAGGGACCAACAAGTGAGAATTTCACTTTTGCTTAAAACTTGCTAATCAATTACTAACTCACTGTCTAGTGAGCAGCCTCTTTCCTTTTTCCTTTAATTGTCTCCACATCATGCCTTGCTGAAAAGTGTAATTGCTTAGCCTTGTTCGCTTGTGACACCGCTTTATGTATTACTTAACATTGAGGTTAATTGAAGGATGTTGGCAAGATTGACAAATGGCAGGGCTCCTACTGAATCTTGTAGATAAAAGCAAATTAACATATGGCGCTTTACAGTGGTCAGTACCTGAAATAGCTTAGAAATTCACAAGTGGAAAATCTTGAACTGCTTTTATGCATTTAAGTATTGTATTGCTGGCCTTAGAAAGTCATCGGAAGGAGTGGTATCGCACAATGTAAGAGCAAACATGATTAATGTAATATCTGTATAGATATTACTTAACATGATTAAGTAATATCTATACAGCCAACTGCTAGGGAAAAGGCCCAGTTTTCAGGAGGTTAAAAAGCCTGCAAACCTATTAACATTTTGTCAGGTGCGACTTCATTTAATAATCAGGAAAGAAACCACTCAACTCCATTTGTTTGACATTAAGTGTACTTTTACTAATTACTAATGAAAAGTAGCGAAGCTAAGCTGAATCTGGTTAATTAGGCGCGAAAGCAAAGAATATGTATAATTCAATCCCCTCCCCTTGGCACCCCAGTCCATAGTCCAATTATAAT